ACAGATACATACACACACACAGAAACAGGCACACGCACATATAGAAACACGTACATTAGCAGATATAGCAACACACACAGACAGGAACAAATACAGACACACACACACAGAGAAACGTACAGACAGACATAGAGAGAATGTGAGTGATCTTCACTCATTAATGTACACATACATAGACACAGTCACATACAAACACACAAACACACACAGTATTATGATTTTTGTGAAAGAATATAACTTTTCACTAATTTTCACTATGATTACTTTATGTATTAATAAAGAAATATAACAAGAATCATAAAAGAAGAGAAATATAAAGTTGGAGAAAACGGCATAAATAATAGGAAATTTTCACTTGAAACTAACCTGACCGGTGATGGTGAAAATAACGACTTTCGAATCATAGTCTCTACACTCGCATGCTAATATTTTATCTGAGTATCGCTTTGATTCGAAAGTTTATGAAAAGGTCGTTTTTATTCAGAGGAATGGCAAGATAATATAAAATATCCATAGATATGTCGTGTTTTTTTTATTTTTATTATATTCTAATCTATCTATTTAATTTTATTTATTTTTGCACTGCTCCTGGAAAATAAATCTGTCAATTACAAGCAGATTTGCCAATCAGAAGCTGGACTGTCGTAAAACCTGTTGTTAATCCCATGTTGTTATTGTTATTATATGTTGTTATTGCATTTCATCTCTAAACAGAAAGCAAATACATTTTCCTTATACTTAATAAACTTGACCAGCCTGCCCTCACCCTAACGGTGGACAAGGCAGGAAGGATCTAGAAAATGGACCAAGGATGTGCACGCGCCATATTTAATCTTTTAGCATCAGCTGTTCATAAGCGCAAGTGCCAGAGCGAGCGAGAGAGGCAGGTTCTGGCAGCGGCAGAGGCTGGGCGACGAGTATATAAGGCTGGGTCGAGGCGGGCACCGGGCACAGTTCTTCGGCAACGGGAAGAAGTGAGTGGTTGGCTGGTCCTCTCTCCTTCTCTGTCTCTCTCTGTCTCTGTTTCTCTCTTTATGTCTGTCTCTGTCTCTTTCTCTCTGTCTCTGTTTCTCTCTTCTTCTGTCTCTGTCTCTGTCTCTTTCTCTCTCTCCCTCCCTCTCCTTCTCCCTCTCTCTCTCTCTATTCCCTTCACATACTGCCATCGAGAGGATATAAAAGTATTCATACCATTCACAAGATATTCAGACATAGCTTGTGACTTGGACATAAAGCCCTTGTATGCATTCTTGTGCCACGAGCTGGTCGCTTCTGGGAAACTAAGTGGTCGTCTTTCAGAGCAAGATGGCGGCTGTCCAGAGAAGTGCGGGAATTACCGCTGTTCTAGTGATCCTGGCGATGGCTTCTGGCGCCGAGGCTCTCGCTGTTAACGAGTAAGTATTGGTCAACGAGCGTTTATCGAAGGCACGGTATGACGTGTCCAGTGAATTAGCGAATCCTTGTGGTGCTTTGAAACTGGAAATACTCTGAGTGAGGACTGGGATGGTGGAACTTTTACGGAAATTGAAAGACGGTTCATTAGGTGTGTGATTTGGTGATGGTGATGACAGTTCTGCAGTGCTACTGATAGACAAGAAATGAAGGATGTGAAAGTGGAAACAGTTCGGTTAATTCCGTCAGCATTAATGTTTATGTCAAGCATATACAAACACACATATATATAAAACATTATATATATATATATATATATATATATATATATATATATATAATATATATATATATATATTTATTTATTTATTTATTTATTGATGATTGATTGATTTATTGATTTATATGTTTACTTATGTATATGCATTTATGTGTGTGTACATGTATGTATGTATATATATATATATATATATATATATATATATATATATATATATATATATATATATATATATATATATATATGTATGTATATATACAGGTATATATAATATTTATATATATACATATACATATATATACATATATACATATACACACATGTATATGTATACAATATATATGTATATGTGTGTATATATATGTAGATAGATAGATATATAGATAGATATGTGTGTGTAAGTATATATATACATACACACACATATATACATATATAGAGATAGATAGATATGTGAGTGTGTGTGTGCATGTGTGTATGTGGGTAATGGATAAAAAAAACTAACAGGCTGGGATAAAGAAAACCCAAGAAGGCCAAGGACCAGACCAATGACAAGATGGCGTAGCGAAATAGCGAAATTCGGGCCAAGAATGGAAAAAGAAAACGTAGGACAGGAAATTGGCAACGACTGGGAGAGGCCTGTGTCCTGCAGTGGACTGAGGGGACTGATACAGGCTGGTGATGACAGGAAGATACATACATACAGAGGAACTTCTTGGACTTGGCACCTCGAGGGACCCGCCCAAAAGTGCCAATTTCGAGAAGCTGCCAAAATTCGGTAAGCTGGGGTCCAAGGCATGCTTACGAGACATAGCTATAGTGTATATAATATATTAACAGCATATATTCTATTTATGTACAAATTTTGAAGAAAAAAAAAATATTAGCATTATGAAATTGACCAGAAAAATGAGTGAAAACTCGCACTCTTGGCACTTGACTTGCAGAGACACAATTTCAAAACCTTATTTACAAAAAGCATTAGCCAAAAAAAAAAAAAAATCTATACGAGTGAAAAGAAGACACCAACTTAGTCTGACGAGAGGATTACGCAAAGTTGTTGAAGTTGAGACTGTCCAAAATAAATCAACTGTTTACGCGCGTGAAACAAAAGAGAAAACAAGTCAACCTGCCGGGAGGAGGACACGAGTTTTCCCAAGTAAAGAATTGTTCATCTGTGTCGTCATCTGCACGAAGTCTGACATATATTCTCGCGCAGACAGAAGTCCCGAAATCTTCCCGCCATTTCTCTCGCTTCTCTGATGGCTGCGTTCGGACGAGTTGAGTGCTCCTCGGCTTCGTCGTCGCTGCCGATCGGTTTTCATCCGAATCCCCACCGTCGATTTCGGGAAGCTGATTGGCTAATCGGGAACGGGATCTGGCTGCCAATTGCCGGAGACGGGAAGTGCTTGGTCCAGGAAGTTCCGTTAATAAGAAATTTACATGAGCGTCGGTTCGGGATCGGACAAAAACCCGCCTATTTAGAAGAAGTGCCAAGTCTAGGAAGTGCCTTTTGTAAGAGGTTCCATTGTATATGTGTATGTACGCGTGTGTGTCTGTATATGTGTGTGCACGTATACATACATACATGCATATAAATATATAGATACACAGTGAGAGAGAGATATGTATGTACATGAAATAATACTACAACCTTATGTTTCTGTCGCGTTCACACTCGAGGACCTTTCTCTCGCCTCCTGCAGGACGGATCCTTCGCGGCAGTCGGGCTTCCTGTACCTGACGCCGGAGCGGAGGCTGGCGCTGCCCCCCCAGAGCATCCTGGTCCTCACGCCCACGCTGAGTCTTCCTATGGGGCGGAACCTTCCCTTCGGCTATGGGGCGTCCATGACCATCTCCATCCCCTTCAAGAGTGCGTCTCATTGTTCTGATTCATCTTTTTGTATTTTTTTTTCTTTCACTTTTATGTAACATCATTGTTGTTATTGTTATTTTGTTATATATGCTTTGTATTGTTTTGTTTTTTCCTCTTACCATCATTGTTTATTGTTTTATGTTTTTTTGTTTAGTTTTTTTTTCTTACTTATCATCATTGTTGTTATTTTTATGTATTTTGTGTATGTAACGTTTTTTTTCCTCTTACTTATCATCACTTTCGTTATTTTTGCTATTTGGTAATTCCCGTAAAAAATACTTACCTTTTTTTCTGTCGGTCTCGCCCCAAGTTGTTGAAGGTTCACAAAATCGAACTTATTTCTCTCCAAGTTGCCCTGATTCGCATTCTTCTGTCCCTCCGATTGCCTTTATGTCTTCTCTTATCGTGTTTGGAATTTTCTTCTATCTTCCTCCTCTCCTCCTTTGGTTTGGCTCTCTCATTCCTTTCTTTAGTCCTCCTTTATCTTTTTATTATTTATTGTGCTTCTGAAAGTCACTGTCGAACCCGTTTTTTCAGAACCCCAGCATCTTCATTCCAATACTGATAAACACCATGTCTGAATACAATTTCTGATCCCTTAACACAATAGAATGCTGTTTCTCTCTATATATATCTAGCTATCTATCAATCTATCTGTCTTTACTTCCCTACCACCTTTGCCATCCCCTTGACTCGCTGCAAACCGATGTTTAAAATGTTCCAGTTTTGGCATCTTCAGCTGCACCGACAGCCACCCCTTTCTTCTTCCGTGACGCACCGGTGCTCTGCCTTCGCTTCGTTAACCTTCTCCTTACGTTTCGGTCCAGCTTGAGACCTTTCCTCGTTTATCTGTCCAGCTCGCCTCCTGGCACAATGTCCTCTGTACCTGGACAATGCGCGCATATCAACTAAAATGTTATCTAACCTTTTTGACCTCGTCGGTAATGCTTTGCAGTTGGTTTTGACGACCTTGGCTTGACATCCGAGGAGAACACCTGGGGCATCATTGAGGGACTCGATGACCCTTCTCCGGGGGACCTGGCTGGTGGCCACAGGTAGGTGCAAGGAATCCATCAATTCCATAGCAAGAATTGGACCAAATATGCCATAGGGTTCCGATACAGTAAGAACATAACAGACGCACCAACTGTAACAGGACATAAAACGTCATCCTCAGGGAGGTGATGTATAAGGTGGTGGAGGAGAGTCTGCAGTCGGTGGGCCTGGACGGGAAGGCCTGCCTCCTGCGCGCCATCTGCGAGATGTTCGAGATTCCTCTCCCCAACCACGGCTTTATCGGCGAATTGCTTGACCTGTTCTTCAGGTAAGGAACTCTCCTTCGGGAAGTCAAACAAGGACAGGATAAGGATGATGCGCTAGATTTTCACCCAGACTTAACGTTTCATTTTCACTGCAATCTTGATGTTGTCCACAGCGCCAGCCGGTCCGCCAAGG